GGTAAAGATTATAAATTTGATGGACAACAATTAGTTGATATTCTTTACAACTTTTTTTTTTTATCTTTAAACAAACATAGTTGTGTTCAATCGAAGACATATTGGTTTGATGAACACTAAATATGGAAGAATATAAAAACTTTTCTTTCATGCTTCTGTTTTGTTTTTTATTTTTATTTTCAAAATTTAGTGTTTTGATATTAATTCTAGATTTGATCATTTTATTAGATGATAAAAACCTTTTTGTTTTTTATTCTTTTATTTAAATATATAATATTTTTTTTAATAAATGACTCTGTGACAATATGACTCTAAATAATTATGTTTTTTGGTATAAAATTGAATAAACTGAAAATCGATGGTATATAAACCAAATCAAACTGAAGTACATGTAGATTTAGAATAGTAGTTATATTTTAATGATCGAAATACCAAAAAATCGAATCGAACCGAAACCCGATATCCGGATTGAACACCTCTAATCCGAATGAAACCGAACTATTGTTTCATTTTTAAAAACATAATAAAAATAATAACTTCATCCCGCGCAAGGCGCGGATCTTATCCTAGTGACTTGTATTATTTGTAACACTCTAGAAATAGTCCAAATTTAATTGACAACTTGTATCAGTAGATAAAAAGAATGACTCTATTTTAATAGAACTAGGTGATTTTCCCGTGCTCATACACGGGCATGCATGTATATTTATAAAATAAATATAGAATAATAATTGATTGATATTTACTTTAATTTTAAAATTAATTTATAGTTTATATGTCTAATTTATATTATATTATCATTTAGATATATTGGATTCTATCTATTTCTCTAAATTCAACTATTATCTTTTATATTTTTAATATATTAAATTTTTGATTAATTTTCTTATTTACATTTATGTTGGTTGTTATCTTAGAAATATAAGTATATTTAGTAAGATTATATATAACTTAAGATTTTTTTGTGCTTAGAAGGAAAAATAAAATAAAAAAAAGTTTCTGATTCTAAATTACATACATAAGTAACTAATGAATTTTTAGAAGCTTCTGAACACATATCAATATGTACAATAATTAAAATGTTTTATTAATTCTAAATAAATTTATGCTTTAGATTGATTGGATGGTAAACTGAAATTTATTTTAAATAATTTTAAAAATAAAGATTTTGATTTGCTTAAGTATTTTGACTATTGTTATATTAAGTTTCACAAACATAAAAAAAAAAAAAGAAAATTAAAAATCAAAATATTTATTAAGAAAACATATAATTTTAACTATTAAAATATAATATATCTACCTCGTTAAATTAAATATTGGTATGGTATTTTAAAATAATTATAGTTATTTTTTTATGTTTGTGAAACAGATAATTTTAACTATTAAAATATAATATATCTACCTCGTTAAATTATACAGAGTTGTGATATTTTAAAATAATTGTAGTTACTTGATCAAAAGATGTTTATTATTAAATTTATTTTTAGTTTTATCTTTAGTATCTATTAAAATAGTCAGTAAAAAGTGATTGTTTTGAGAAATTATATTATATAAGTAAAATAGAATTTATATTTTTACTGTAATTTTAAGATATTATAGTCAAATATATAATACCAATTATAAAAAATGTCAGTTAAACATATAACAGTTTATGTTAGTTGATTATTTTATGTAATCATCTAATAAAATAGATAGATATATACAAAAATAATTATTTTGAAAATATATATATTTTATTGTTTAAAATTTTTTTTTTAAAGAAAAAATATTTCTTTTTCTAATAGCAATATTTTTTGTGTGAAATGTTTTAATGAAATCACATTATATGCAGATATTGTTTTTTTTTATCTAAGAAGATATAGATATAAAGTATTTTATTACTTCAAAGGTATATTTTATGTTATTTAAAATATATTTAAATTAAATATTACTCTTTTGTGAACTTTCCATTTTTATTAAACCATATTATATATACTTATATTTTCGTATTTAAATAGTTTTGTAAATTTTATAAATGTTTCCTTTTTATTTTATATTGTTATTTGGAAATTTTTAAAAAGGAAATAATATTTAATTATATTTTTAATTCATTAGGGGTATCATAGTAATCAACCAGTGTGAGAGTTAACGTGAGTGCGACACCTAAGAAAGTGACTTCTCAAATAATATTATAGAGATAGATGACGTTGTGAAATCGGTGTTGAGATCCCTCCAAATAGGCAGATTTTTCTTATGTAAACTGTATGGGCTGTGATTGGGCTTAATAATAATAAAGTCTATATTTCAGTTATTGGGTTATCCTGAATTGCAAAACCCTAATGAAAACCAAGGCGAACGTTGTAGCCGCAAGGCGATAAAGAAACCCTAATTCCAGAAGATCAAATCCATCTATGTCTGTACTGTATATATATGGTTCGTATTCTTCAAATCAATTCAAAATACCAGAGCTGCTTCTCTCTGTCTTTTTCTTTTCACTTGGTTTTACAATATGTTTATTAGGGTGTTAGTGATATGTATATATTCATTTTTTTTTTTTTGAAAAGTGTATATATTCATTTTCGTTGAGTGGGGTTGGTCGTAAAAAAGGGATATGGTGATGAAACGAATATTTCGTGGACTAGAGTTTCAGATCTGGGCTCTTCACCCAGTAGTTGAAGATACAACCCTTGGCTGTCTGAGTATTTCTCTTTACGCTAACCACCTCAATCATAGGTTTTTTAATCTGATTTTTTTATTATTTTCTTATAAATAGCCGATGAGGATAAAAACAATTATCTTAGCGGATTTCAGTGAGGTTTTAAAATCGATGATCTGAATTGTTACACACACTGAGGCAATTTGTTTTGATAACTAATTTGAAAGAGTTACCTTTAGTTTGTGTTGTGTTTAATTGTTTTGATTCGATGATGATAAAATAGCACGGAGGTGCATGAAGGGCAGTGGACAAAATAGAAAATGTTTTGCCGTGAGCTCTCTTTAATTAAACGACTTCTCCTTCCACTGTGCATTATTAATTAAGTTTTTTATATGTGATTAGTAAAGGCGTCTTTTACCAATTCTGAGGGATAAAATCTATTCCCTTAGGTATAATGGCATTGACGCAAGATTGATTAGTTTGTGGTATATCCTGATCATCTCACTTTTTTCTATGTTATTTGATCCTGGAAATGCTTCATACATTGATTCATAAACTTATTAAATTCGCTGTTCTTGTCAGCGTAAAAATTCAACATGACTTGCTTTGTCCGTAAGGCATCATATATTTCTTTGGAATCTATCATCTTTATCAGAGATTGAATGTTAGGAATTATCTCTGTAAAGACACATTTTTGATATACTGTAATTTAAAACAGTTCTTACGTGATGACCTTTCTTTGAAATGAGAAATGATGGAAAGAGTATTGAATTCAGAAGGAACACTATCTCATGGACAACAACTTTCAAAAGATATAAAATAGTAAATGTTATTCATGAAATGAGGTAGTAATATTACTATTTTTATTCATAAAGTTATCAAGAAGTTAGGGACCAAAGCTGCAAATTCTCTATATTCGGCTGGGTTAGATTGCACAATCAAAAGTTAGCGATTGATTCTGAAAGTTAAAAGGATGTGGGGGCAGAAACAAAAATCCATAAAAGATGAAAGATCAGACTTGCAAAAAGGGTAAAAATAGCCATTGGAGCTCACGGGCTTCTCTTGGCTGTAGATCGCAGCGATCCCGACGGCGACGATGAGCACGGCCACAAGACCACGACTTGGATCTGAGAGCAAGGTGGTGCTGACACGGCGCGACGGAACGGAACGGATGTCGTGGGCCGAGATTCGCGTCGGAGGAGAAGCTCGAGGGAGATGGATGACATTCACGGCGAAGCTCGACGACGGCGAGAATCGAGCACCTAAGACCACGGCTTGGATCTGGGAATGAGACGCGGAGGTAGAGAGGTCGTGAGCCCGTGATGACGAATGAAGCTCTCAACTTGGTCAGGGTGACACGAAGTTGATTCACGGCTAAGGACTGCGATGGAGATGAACCGTTACGCGAGGAAGATGGATTGATGGTCAGTGAAGCTTGAGACGACGGCTTGACACAGCGATGATAAATAAAGAAGACCGATTCTTCTGCTATTTGTTTTGAGTATTTATTGTGGTTTAAGTTATTTAAATAAGTCTTCCGCTATTGTAGTAAGTGGTTTAGTTGATATCTAGTTTGTAGGAAGTAGTTGTGTACTATGTATATTTAAGCAACGCTTACGTTGTCTTTATTGAATAAGAGAATTAGAAGCTTTCAGTTTACAAAGAGTTTCAAATGGTATTAGAACTCTAAAATCTGTTGTGAGTTCTAGGTGAAATCAAAGGTGAGAAGAGATGACTGAAAAGGAACACTCGTTGAGCATTCCAAAATTTGATGGAGATTATGAGCATTGGGCAATGTTTATGGAGAATTTGTTGAGGTCCAAAGAGTGGTAGGAGCTAAAGAGTGGTAGGAGCTGATAGAGACGAGGATTACTCAACATGGAAGAAACGTGACATTGACGGAACTATCTCTTTGCCTCCATCAACAAAAACGTTCTGAAGACAATCGTGAAGAAGGACACTGCAAAGAACATATGGGAATCTCTGAAGGCAAAGTATCAAGGCACCACACGGGTGAAGAATGCACAGCTTCAGAGGTTGATAAGAAACTTTGAAATGTTGGAAATGAAGGAGAATGACTCAATCGCAGACTACTTCTCTAGAGTCATGGTGGTGTCCAACGATATGCGGAATCTTGGAGAGGAAATGTCAGATGAGAAGGTGGTTGAGAAGATCTTAAGAACCCTTGTGGAGAAGTTCACCTACGTGGTTTGTGCGATAGAAGAATCAAAAGACATCAAAGACTTGTCGGTGGATGAGCTGCAGAGTTCATTACTTGTCCATGAACAGAACTTGAGTAAACACACTGGAGAGGAACAAGCCCTGAAGATGGAAGGAGGAAGAGGACGAGGTGGTTACTCTAATGGACGAGGAGGATATCAGAACAGAGGAAGAGGTAGTTACAGAGGAGGTCGTGGAGGACAAGACAGAGGAAGTGGAAGCTTTGACAAAAGCAACATTGAGTGCTACAAGTGCCATAAGTTGGGGCATTTCAAATACGAATGTCATAGCTGGGAGAAGTCGGCTAACTATGCGGAACTAGAGGAGAATATCATGTTGATGGCTCAAGTTGAGGTGGAAGAAAGACATGTGTGGTACTTGGATTCCGGTTGTAGCAATCACATGTGTGGAACCAAGGAATGGTTCTCAGAGTTTGACAGCAAATTCAGACAACAAGTGAAGCTTGGAGATGATAGGCGGATGCAAGTGGAAGGGAAAGGTAACTTGAGGTTGGAAATCAATGGTGTTGTTCAAGTAATCCCTGCAGTCTACTTTGTGCCGGGGTTAAAGAATAACCTACTGTATGTGGGTCAGTTGCAGCAGAAAGGATTGAGAATCATAATTGAGGAAGATTCGTGTGAGTTTTGGCACAAACAGCAGCGTAGACTGATCATGCACTCTGAGAAGTGTTACTGCGAACACACTCTATCTGTAAAGACAGAAGGAGGGAACACGTTGATCATCAGTTTGTACGTAGATGATCTCATTTACACCAGCATCTCGAGAAACATGCTTGATAACTTCAAAAAGTCGATGCAAGAAGAGTTCTCAATGACTGATTTAGAGAAGATGAAGTACTTTCTAGGCGTGGAAGTTATACAAGATGAGGCTGAGATCTTTATAAGTCAAAGAAAGTATGCTCTAGATACTCTGAAGAAGTATGGAATGCAGGACTGCAACACTGTGAGAAATCCGATGGTTCCAGACAACAAACTAACAAAGAGAGGAGCTGGAGAAGAAGTGGATCCAATGGCTTACAAGCAACTTGTGGGAAGCTTGAGGTACTTAACAGCTACTCGACCTGATTTGATATACTCTGTGAATGTGGTGAGTAGATACATGGAGAATCCAAGAGAAGAAAACATGATGGCAGTCAAGCGTATTGTGAGGTATGTGCAAGGGACTGCAGGTTATGGCATTCAGTACTTGCGTGGAGGGGAATAAAATCTTGTGGGATATGTTGATAGTGATTATGCAGGCGATGAAGATGATAAAAAGAGCACATCAGGTTACACATTCATGTTTGGAGGAGGAGCTGTGTCTTGGAGTTCAAAGAAACAGCCCATCGTTACACTTTCTTCCACGGAGGCAGAGTATGTTGCAGCAGCAAATGGAGCTTGTCAAGCTGTATGGATGAGGAATGTGTTATCTGAAATCGGGTTTGATCAAGGTGATGGTACTGTTCTTTTCTGTGATAACAGTTCAACTATAAAGTTATCAAAAAATCATGTGCTACATGGAAGAAGCAAGCATATACATGTGAGGTTTCATTTCTTGAGAGAGCTCGTGAATGAGGGTGTCATTTCAATGGAGTATTGTTCAACTTATGAGAAATTGGCGGACATCATGACAAAGCCAGTAAAGCTTGAAGTGTTCGAAAAATTGAGGGCAGACATTGGAGTAGGATTGAAGGAAGGTTAAACTTGAAGAAGTTCAAGTTTAAGGGAGGGATTGATAAATAAAGAAGACCGATTCTTCTGCTATTTTTTTTTGAATATTTCTTGTGGTTTAAGTTATTTGAATAAGTCTTCCACTATTGTAGGAAGTGGTTTAGTTGTTATCTAGTTTTGATGCGGGCATCAAATCCACTGCTCCTAAAGTAGACGATACTTTCCATGTTTGTACTCGGATGAACCTAGACGACATCAAGCCCATGGTTCGTTTGACTCAGCTGGATGTTCCCAAACAAAGGCCACCACTTAAGCCTCCTTATCGGCTAATAATTATGTGGATCAAAGGTATTAAAGTCGTGGTCAACATCTACTTAATAAGCAAATTTCAATCCCCTGAGATCAGTCCTTTTGACCAGCTATTTGATTTTCTCTTAATTATGATTTGTCCTAGAAATCTGCCTTTCATTTATATCTTTGATTTTGTCCAAAATCTATATATAAAACTCCTCTTATTTCATTGTAAAATTAGACTTGAGTACTGAATAAAAAAAAGTGAGATTTTCTCTTGAGAGCTTTTATGCTTGTTCTTGTTATTTCTAAGTTATGTGAGATTCTTTCTTAGGATACAAGTGTGGAACATCTTTGTGTGAGATTCACTTAGGTTCTGGTTCATGATCTTATCTCAAAGCCTTTCACATCTTTGAGTGGTGATCTTCATTTCATTTAGGCTGTCGGTTTTGATTTCTTGTGAGAAAAGCTAAAGTGAGATTCTGAGGCTGTATCATTTGGTATCAGAGCCAAAAGCTCCTATCATCTATCCTTTTGTTTTTCTGTTTTGTTTTTCATTATATTCTCCAAGAAAACCCTGAAAGAATCGTTTTCCTCTTTCTTTCTTTTCTGTTTTTTTTTTTGTTTTTCTAAGTTTCTGTCAAAATATATATATATATATATATATATATATATATATAGAGAGAGATATGGAAAACCAGTCCAGCAACATAAACATGTCGAACCATCCTTGGAGTCTTCTGAAGCAAGAAGATTATTACTTTGCAGGAAGATCAGGTCTTGATGAGTACTTTGAATGGGAGCACAAGATGAACGAGTTCTTCAATTCTTGCAGATGTCCAGATTTTGAGAAGGTATACATTCCTGCTGATCAACTCATCAACCAAGCTCAACACTGGTGGAGCCAATCTACTGCAAAAGAAAATCATTGCCGGTACTCTCGAGAAACAGCTTGGGATGAGATGAAAAATCTGATGAGGAAGCAATACATCCCACGTGATCAGTATCAAGAAATCCGGAGGCAATTTCACACACTTTGCCAAGATGATATGACGGTCATGGAGTATCACAAGCAATTCAACCATCTTCGCATTCGGCTCAATCCAGGAGTAAGGAATGAGGATGTCATGGACCAGTTTGTTTATGGGCTAAGCAATGAGATCTGTTTCCACATACAAAGGTACTCATGCAATTGTTTGGAAGAGTTGGCCCAACAGGTGGCCCAAATTGAGCATGAAAACTAAGAGCCTGAACCACTTGATCCATCAGAAGAGGTCCAAAAAAATCCGAGGTACATCCCGATATCACATGAGCAAGTTATGAGGACAAATCTTTTACAAGGGGGAGGGAGTGATGCGGGCATCAAATCCACTGCTCCTAAAGTAGACGATACTTTCCATGTTTGTACTCGGATGAACCTAGACAACATCAAGCCCATGGTTCGTTTGACTCAGCTGGTTGTTCCCAAACAAAGGCCACCACTTAAGCCTCCTTATCGGCTAATAATTTTGTGGATCAAAGGTATTAAATTCGTGGTCAACATCTACTTAACAAGCAAATCTCAATCTCCTGAGATCAGTCCTTTTGACCAGCCATTTGATTTTCGAGATTTTTACATTGTAGGACACATTGTCACTTCTAAATTACATATTGGAGCACATGTTGCTGGAGGCACACATATTACATGTGGAATGTCCTTAAAGCCCTTCCAACGGGAACTCCACTTCTTTATGCCTCTAACTTTTTCTAATTTATTCTCCAAAATATTTGATAAAAAAATCACAAAATGTAAAAATCCTTCACCCAAAACAGATCTATATTTTTCCCCAATTACGTAACCCTAATTCTCCTAGACCATGAATCATGTACTCTCGATTCTTTTCTGATTCTTCAACCTCCTCTCCCCATCACCGTCTCTCATCTTCTTCAATCTCCTCTCCACATCAATGTCTCTCGTCTTCTGAAATTCCGAAAAGAGAGATTGGTAGTGGTCTATGACGCGGTGGTCGGGGATAGTGGTGAGAGAGGACGGCGAGGATCTGAAGGTGGACGGCGAGGATCTGAAGCTGGTGGATGTGGTTAATCCACATGAAGAGCGGCGAACATTCAATCTTTGAATGGAGATCTGAGAATTGTGATAGACTCACAAAGGAGATCTGAGTTCCAATGAAACTAGTTCCGGTGACTAAGGCAGTGAGGGTGTATACAGTGTGGCAGTGGTGGTTATGGAGGAGGCCGTGGTGGAATACGTGAGGGTATATACAGTGGTTATGTATACGGTGACGGTGACGGGCTCAGTCCCATGGAAAAAAAACAGTAATGGTGGAGGTGGTGGTGATTATGGGGAGGCAGTGGTGGATCCGTGGCGGTGGTTGTAGTGTAGGTCGTGGTGGAAGTGGTGATGGTGGTGGCAGTTGACGAAGAGGTTGTGGTTGCAGTGGAGGTGGATGTGGTCCATGTGGATGTGGAGATAGTGGTATTTGCGGTGAATGTGGTGGTGGATGTGGAGGAGGTGGTGGTTGCTGAAGAAAACGTGTTTGAGTCTAAACTAATGGAGTTTAGTTTGGTTTATGTAGATCAAATGAATGTTGTTTGATTGAAAACTCTAATAAATTTACTCAAACTTGTGTCTTTATGTTATAGGTGGATTTGTATATGATCGAGCCTGAAATCAAGCTTGTTGCTTCTTCTGAAAGATTGATTTTTTCCAAAAGAGATGTGATTTACACACTTGGATCTCTGCAAGCAGTTTTAATCCGTAAGACCAGAACTTGTTTCTTGTATCATGATCACGGGTTGCTGCAATGGGGTATATAAACATGGAGAATAGATGGTTTCTCTCTTATCAGAGGTGGTTGGTACTCAGGAAATATGATATATTTTCAGACAATACAGACGACTTGTTTCAGGTATTGGAATGTCATTGGCTGTAGCCATTCTGCTGTTTGCATCACTTTGTTGTCGTTGGGAGAGAATCATGGTTGAACTTTTTCATCATGTGCACAACTCATGATTTACATTTTGTTCATGGAAATTTAAATTAGTTAGTTAATGTTGGACTTTTTCATCATGTGCACAACTCATGATTTACATTTTGTTGTTCATATCCACAACTGTTTTACTCTATATCCATATTAATTTATAATTCTATTATTCTATTCGGGTGTCTATGTTCACATTTTTTTCTTTATATATGTTAATATATATATATATATATATATATATATATATATATATATATATATATATATATATATATATATATATATGAAAGTAAATGTCAAAAGATATATAATTTTGAAAGTAAATGTTAAAAGATATATAACAATAATAATTCATTCACACAGAAAACACTTAATTAGTCAACACAGCCTACTTCGGTTCTTTTATTTCGGTGGAAAAAAGGGCAATTTAGTCCCAAGACCGTCTTGAAATCTGTGAATGTACTCTTCAAACATAATGTGTCCTATGATGTCAAAAAACTCAAAAAAGTGCCTTAGAGAGTAATGCACTCTTGATTTTCTCTTAATTATGATTTGTTCTAGAAACTGCCTCTCATTTATGTCTTTGATTTTTTCCAAGAGCTATATATAAAGCTCCCCTTATTTCATTGTAAAATCAGACTTGAGTATTGAATAAAAAAAAGTGAGATTTTCTCTTGAGAGTTTTTATGCTTGTTCTTGTTATTTCTAAGTTATGTGAGATTCTTTCTTACGATACAAGTGTGGAACATTTATCTTTGTGTGAGATTCACTTAGTTTCTGGTTCATGATCTTATCTCAAAGCCTTTCACATCTTTGAGTGGCAATCTTCATTCTATTTAGGCTGTCGGTTTTGATTTCTTGTGAGAAAAGCTAAAGTGAGATTCTGAGGCTGTATCAAATTTGTAGGAAGTAGTTGTGTACTCTGTTATTTAAGCAACGCTTATGTTGTCTTTATTGAATAAGAGAATTAGAAGCTTTCAGTTTACAAAGAGTTTCAAGCGGTGTTGCTTGGCTGCTAGTTTCGCATCTAGCACATATTGCTTCTTTCCTTATTTTTTCCACCAAAATTCATACATTGTTTTTTTTTTGTTATTTTAGTTAATCCAAAACTACTTTTTTCTTTTCTTCATCACCACTATATCATTATTATGAATTAAATTAAAAGAATTTTCAACAATTTTTCCTTGTCAACACGTTAGATAACGACCTATCACGAGATGATTGGTATAATTGTATGTATACATACAAATCAGGAGGATAAACAATCCATAATATATTTATTCAGATAATCAAGATATACAGAGATATTTTATTCAGATATAAACATCATTAACTTAAACTTCTGACAACATAAATTAAAAATAAACAATCCATAAGACATAAGAACCCTAGTAGAGATTTGCACGTTCCTCTCGGCGAGCAACTCGGTGTGCTCGGCGGCGAGCGATTCGATGTGCTCGCCAATGCACAAGCAAAGAGAAGAAACAGGTAGCCACAATCTTCCACCCTAGTCCGCTGTTATCATGGTTGTAAAGTGCAATTAAGATGCCAAGAAGAGTCTCAAAGACACCGAACTGGTCCATCCTCCAATCCAGCATCGCAGAAGTAGCGTAGTAGAAGAATAGACTAAGGACCGTAGCCTCTGCCATTTCATCCAAATCCCAATCTAGTTTGAAATCAGGGCCGTCTAATAGCATGTGTAAGTGGAGCGGTCGAACAAGACCCCAAATATAAAAATAAATAAAAAAAGAAAAAATAAGAAAAAATTAAAAAAAATTTGAGAAATATATAGATAAATTATGATATTTTAAAAACAAATTTAGATATATTGCTAAATTAGAACTTATAGTTTTAAGGAAACATCAAACATAGTTATTAAATTTTTTAAAAAAATTATTAAATCATAAATATATCATTAATTTTCTTTTTTGAACAGGGTCTAAAATTTATTTGAGACGGTCCTGTTTGAAATGGTGGGCTAAGACTCCAACAATGGTTGAAATAAACCACTGAAATCCCAAGAAGACAACGCCGTCGGCTTCGGCATCTTCATCGTTCGCGAAAAGTATGAAACCCATAGGAACAAAAAGCAACACACCAAGTATGGCGATGACTCCATAGTAAAGCCAAGGTGACTCCGACATCTCTCCCCATATTTTAGACTGTGTAACTAGCAAAACGGAGACACAAGCAGACGTTACAGCGTGTAAAACACACAAATATTGGGTTTTCATAGCAAGCTCTTTGTATTGAGTCTAGTTTGACGTAATCAAACTAGAAACTTGAAAACCGTTTTGAGAACATCTAATAGGGTCATTTTGAAAAGCGTTTTGAAAGCTTGTGAATTGTTGATTATGCAAAACTGAGATGTGTTATATATACCCATTGTAATTTTAAGTTAGTTGGTAACTACCGATCAATGTGTTTACCACCTACTGGTTTTCATACGCGTTTACTTGTGAGGAATTGATATCTACAAGCATGAGCCTTGGGACTTACCAGATTTGGAACTTGTGAGCTATTACGGTTTTGGGGAAGTTGATATCTACAAGCATGAGCCTTGGGACTTATCAGATCTTAGCGATGTTGAGAGTGAGAGAGTGAGAAATTGCATCCAATGGACTTATAAAACTGAGCAAAGTTCAGTTCTTTTTTTGTAGTTTACTTAAGAATTTATTGCGATCTTGTGGTTCATAACTGTTTGCTTGTTCTTCAGGAAATGAAGTTTTTGTTTTTCTGTGTTTGGTTATTACGTGAGGTTTCATTTTTGTTTGTGTTTCAGATTGCTAACTTGTGCTTCCACTTTAGTTTGCTTGTGTTTCAGGACATAAAGTTTGTTGTTATTGTTGTTGCGTGGCTTAGTATCTGAAATTTAATGTTATTAACTCCGGTTTGATTTTTCTCTTTCAGTGTTTTCGAGGTTTTGGACAAGGGACCAGGAATGGTACTTCTACAGTGCGCTAGCAAGATGCATATATGTGTTGTGCAGAGTGTTTCATAAGAACAACATTGGGCCACCAAGTGCGAACAGATATGCACCGTTCATGAAAGAGGAGTGGGCTGATGATGGAGTAGCTCTGATTCCAGGAGTAGACGTTAATCTCAGGGCTGAACCGCTACCATTAGCCAATGGACACAACCAAATAGACCAGGTTTGTACTTACTTCATAACCCGTAAGCTATTTACTTTCATTTTCACTATTTATTATATGAAAAAGCTCTGTGATGAAGTGAAATCACCTTCTCTTAGTTCACAAGATGTCATGTTTCTTATATATGCAAAAGCTGTATGTTGAAGTGAAGCTTTTCTTAGTCTTAGTGTTTCAGTGAGCTGAGTATGGCTGAACTAGACTAGCCCATTGAGTTTGCTACCAAATCTTTTATTACAAGACATAACTTGACATTTGTGGTAGGAAATCGTCAGTAAGCAAGGAATACATTAACATCAACGAGCCACCAAAGAGAGCCTACTCTAATGGATATTGACTTATCCATAAGAATCATCATGAAAATTCTCTCAAGCCGCAGGAGAGTAACCGTTATGATCAAGATGAGGAAGCACTCAAACGTGAGTAAACAGAGGAAGATGAGCGTTCTCATCCTTTATGCATTCTCAACAAAGAAGCTCCGTTACCTCTCCTCCAGTACAAACGCAGACGCCAAAACGAGCCCACCAACAACAACAGCTCAATCAGGACCACACAGGACCACTGTTCGTCCACAATAACAACCGTAGACAATACACCAACCTTAATCTCATCAATTGCTGCTGCTGCCACCAACACAGCCATCTCTGCATTGCTAGAGTTCTCTCTCATGGGTATCTCCGACAAGAAAGAAAACCTTCAGCCTCCTCGCAAGGAAACTTATTCTCCTCCTGCTCCACTTCCATCTCATGAAGAGAAGCTGAATGATCTCCAGAAGGAGGTTCATCAGATGTCTATTGAGAGAGAAACTTTCAAGCTTGAGATGATGAGTGCAGAGGCTATGATCAGTATTCTCCAGTCCGGGATCGATGCTCTGCGTCAGGAGAACCAGTAGGGCCCTGGGTACAAGCAATACAAGCACGTGCTTCCGACCCTAATTAGATTATTAAAAAATTCCGGCCTTCAGGTTGTCATTATCTTCGGTAGCGTAGTTGGTTTAAGGCTAGATTTGTTATGTGAGGTGTGTCAGATTCGAGTTGTAGTAGTTCCATAATTTTAATTAATAGGCCAATTTTTTTTTCTTGCTTCCGGCCCATATTTTCTCCGGGCCGGGCCTGGGAGAACGATGAGATCAAGAAGAACAGCGCTAATGGACACTAAATGCTCTAAACCCATCTCTCCAGGCTTCTTCTTCTCTCATTATCTAGTCTCCCTAATATTATGAGCTATCTATGTAGCTTCTTCAGACAAACTGAGACTCTATTGTACAATTAGGGTACTGTTTTTTATGGGATGTTTATGCTTCGACATTTTCTTGTTTTGTCCATTGTCATGTATTATCTATCATCTAATTTTTTCAGACAAGAACACTTTTTGTATGTTTCAAGAATGCTTGGGTGTAAACTAGTTTGGGCAAGATCGGTATTAAAGGTCAAGTCTGAGACGGTATAATAGTCTACAGATAAGAATGTATCTCATACATATATAAAGGGGAAAATTGGAAAATTTGGACACTTTGAACTTTTATTTGTCCATATAGGACTTCTCATACTTTTGGTAATTCTGGACATGTTTTACCCTTTATTAATGAAAAAAATAGTAAACTAATTTTGCAAAATAGAAAAAAATATGAGAAGGCTAGAAAACATAAGTATGACAATATATATGTTTAAGTTTTTATTTTTTAAAAGTGGAATCATATTTTATTTTATCTTCTAGCTACATATAGAATACTCATTCTGGTTATCTACTTAGTTTAGAAATCATATACTGGGTGTTCTTGCTAGATAAACCCAAGGTATGAAACGTAATATAACATTTCGTGTCTATTCTAACGAAGGTAGTATTGGTAACGTTATAATCAAGGCATATGTCTTTGGTGTAGGTGAAGCTAGATACCGATTTATAACCATAACTTATTGACATACCCCATCCAAATTTTGTGCAATAACCAATTCTGCATGTTACCTTATGTGACGCTTGAGAAAGAATATGTTTCCCACATTTTCTACTGTGTTCTGCCTTAGGTAGTATACATATTCTAGGTAATCCGCAAAATATGGAAACTTTCATATTCGGTTGAGATGTTTCCTAAATATCTTAGAGAATATTTTGTCCACGATTTTCTCTCTCTTCCTCACAATCTTTTTCTCTGTTTTCTCTGTGTGTTCTACATTCTTCATCAAAAAGCTTCATCTTTTCTTCTTATCAATACAAGATGGTTCTAATCCATGTTAAATCCGGTGAATGGATGTCTAGTTGCAATGACGAGTGGAGTTTCGTGGCAGACAAAAAAAGGCGTGGTTGAATGGTAACATTGGAAACTAGTACTCTGTTGGAGGAGGAAGATGACTCGGAAAGGTTGAAGAAGAAGACTTGGATTACTTGTTGTTTCTTCGGTGAGATGGAAGAGGAAGATGACTCGGAAAGGTTAGAGAAGGTGAGAGATGAAGATTTCAGAAAACAATTATGTCAGAGAGAAGGCAGAATCGCCATGGGAGAGAGCTCGGCGGAGAAGATGATGTAAAACAAAATTAGGGTTATCGATTTCCCCTCTAAACCATGTGTCCCGATTCTTATTTTTTTTGTTTTTTTGTTTTATTTATAAATTAAATTTATAATTCCCCTTAATTGATTAATTTTAATGGTATTATGGTATTAACAGATTTGAAAATCCTATTTTTCCAAAAAAATCTTCTAAAAGTCTTATAGGAACAAATCCAAGTTGAGAGTGTCCTAATTTTCCAATTTTCCCTATATAAAGTTCTCTTGTCTTTATGGAGAACGGAGAGTAAACTGTTTTTCAAGTAAAAAGTCGTGCTAGGTTGGTTGTCTGAAGCAAGGACATTATCGTTATTGACAATTCGTCTATGTAAATGTGTTCAAAAGAACTTCGTATTATATTTTACTTGTTAGGATTTTTATATGTTATAATCAAAAATATTCGGTGATATCATATAATTGCTTTAGTTGTTTGTTTTAGTTTTAAGTCGTTAGACCATCTCCAATGGGATAGAACCCCTATTGGAGATGGTCTTATAGCTTTCTTAAGTAATGCTATTTGTCTAAACTGAAAATAACATGTGAGAACTATATTTATATCACATGCATACATATAAATGTATACTTTATTGGGTTTGTTAATTAGTTCTTTATAAAAATTAAGAACCTTTTGAAAGTAGATTAAGATCTTGGTGGAATCCACAACTGAAAAGAGGTATAATTAAATTGCTTTGGTGCTTAAATGTCTGTATGAACTAGCTAGAGACTGGTTAATGCATGGATCCTAAAAAAAAATATGAGTATATAATATGTTTTGTTAAAAGGTCATTTTCATGAAGTATAATTTCAACATCCCTATATAAATAAACTAAGAAAAATAAATAAAAGTATTAAATAATTTTCATGAAGTTTGATTTCGTGGTGATTGTTAAGTTATGGTGCAAGCCACTGTTTTGGGATGAATCATGTCTAGAACTCGGGTAATTCCAAAATCTGGTGTTGAATGTGGCGAAGTTTGTGTCTAAAAGATTCAAATTTCACACCTTTAATTTGTACTTTAACAGAAAACGTGGGAGAGTCCATTTCACGTTCGTTATGTGTCTCAGATCTCTTCTCTTACTGATTCTATACATACAGAATGTGTGATTGTTGCGAATGAGCCCAAGCTATAGAATTATAAATTTGAGGTTTGGGCGTTTTACATGTTCCAGGAAGAAAGAACAAACAAAAGAGACCCATCTTCATCTGCAGAAGTGGCAACTCTGGAAGAAGCCACACAAAAAAAACCTACAAAGATGTTTAACCATGAGATTAAGCAAAGACGATATGTAATCAGATTCTTGATTATAGGTTATATGGGTTTTAATAAACATGTAAAGATATTTCTGTTTCTTTTGGTGGCTCTTATGGTGCATGTAGTTTTGAACAGAGCATGAGTTTCTTTCCTCGAGATTGAATCTTAATTTGATATGAGAAGTGGGATTGCAGTCACTGAATACACCAGTGAAATCCTATGGTTTGTGAGTGAGTAACGGGAATATCCAAGAAGGACCTCTCCACTACGATGTTAACATCTCGATCTTTCCAATTGTACAAGGTAAGTTTGGCACCAAGATCAACAAGTTTCTTTCTTTCTTTTTCAAGTTTTATTATTCTGAGTTTAGCCAGTGAAGAGATATTATCAACTCATTTTATTTTCATTCGACTATATTTGGTTGATGATTCAAAATTTTGTTGGTTCATAGGCGGAATTAAGAATTTTAGTGTGTTTCAGTAATTAACAAGGAAGTCGACTATGTGGTATCAAGACATGAAATTCTCTACAACCAGGGGTCGACCGTATTGTAATGATACAAGTATACCAAGTTTAGCATTTACAGTGCAACAAGCCCTAACAAATAACCATGGGCTGTTAAATCATAATATTCCGAGAGAGGATCCGAGCAAGCTGACGAAAACGAAAGCTGAAACCAGAATTGCAAAAAGGGTTAGTGGATTTGGAGCAGTAAGATAATAGTCACCCGCCTTCTTCCTTTTTTTAATGATAAGGTATTATCTACTCTGATTGTGTTTAGTCGTTGTCATCACAAAGCTTCCCGACTTTCACTCTTATAATAATGTGTAAATCTTCTACTTCTAGAGGTATTTCTCATTCAAGCCTCTGTAACGGTCTATTTGCTGAAAACCATTGAAATCAATCCTCACACTCCTTAGTATATCTCATGTGGTTTTTGGTGTCTCAACTCTGAAAAGCTGGTACGTTATTACATATTTACTTGATTCTCTGCATTCTTTTGCTTGGACATTTACACCGAATACTCTGTTTATTTTGTTGGTTTTGTCAGAGTCTGAAGCATCAAAGGAAATGGAAAAGGGATCACAATTACACAAAGTCATGGTATGACAGAGGTGCAGAGATCACAATTATACAGGAAGGGGGCACGTTAAAAGTATGTCTTTCTCTGATTTTGAAACCTTGGTTATATTGACAAATGGGAAAATTCTTTTTTTTTTGTTTGTTTGGAATTTGTTTTAGTTTCTAACTTTTTTCCGTTTTTAACAAATAATGAGACTTTTATTATAGCAAGCTCACTTGAATAAACAGAAAAGAGGGCAGAGATGCAATGACTCCCATATCCAATAATCTTGATTTAACTCTTAATTTGTGGGATTTTGTTTCCTATTATCTTTTACATCCACTTCATATTTTTATAATAATCTGACTTACAATAATCTACTTCTTATCTACAATGCAGGAAAACTTTGAATACAATGATGTCATTTGGTCATAGCAGCTTATATCAGAAATCTAACATATATAAATGGACTCATTCTGGTACTTACAACAATGTAGAGGAGAACTTGCTTACCAAGGGTTATTACTTTTTCCTTCACATTATGTAAATTGTGTCCTGCTGGTGCAGGTTTAAAATCTCTTGGAAGTTGATGTAAGATAGATTTTTCTCTAAGAAAAATGATAACGAAAAAGCTTCTATCAGGCATCAAGGATCTGCATAAAGAGCGAGAATGATATTTGATCCCATGAAAAAGGAAGGCTAAAGATGATATGTTTAAGGACAGATGCAAAATAAGGAAATAAAGTTTGTAGGAGTTTTTTTTCAAAAAAAGTTTGTAGGAGTTATCAACACGGCGAACGTTACCGTAGATATTTTGTAGGTTAATTCGAAACTTCTTTCTAGCATTTTCCAACTAAACAATTTTAAGCTATGTTTTTTCTCTGATATTTTCTGCACGAGATCCTTAGAGAAATCGATATGCATAGCTTCCCAAAGGTCAGTAGCTTCATTGGCAAGAAGACGCACAGTATCCGATTTACTTACCAATATATACACGTTTTCTATGTTTAAGATCATCAGTATTTCATTACATGTA